GTGGACAAACGGAATGAGAAAAACAGAAAAGTACCCTGAACGTGGCACTATCTTCTATCTAAATTACAGCTGGAACCTGCCTTCTCGGCTCTGTCACCCAGGAAATGGCTCCTGCCCCAAACTCCTACAGTTTCTATTTAAATGAGAAAATATATAAAAAGCTTCTTCCTGAGTATAAAAACTTTTTGCCATATTTTCATACCATTATTATTTTCCTAGTATTTTTCTTTATGTTGACTCATTTTTACTGAGTCAATTTTACTGCATTTTTAAAAGACCTTCATAAACAGGAAGTTTGCTACACTCCATAAGTGGAAGGAAACCATTAAAACGATAGGAGGAAAAAAAAGCAATATCACTAAATTCTAGCAAAATACTAATGTCCACAGAATTCTTTAAACATGAGGAATGTTTCTTCCCACTATGAAAAGATTTGGCAAGCATCAGGATAGATGTTACAGAAATAACGGTACCAAATAGAGGCTTTCATTTGGATAGTATCAGGATTCAAACAGAAAAGAAAAGGAAATAGGTTTCATATCACATGATTCAATCCCACATCCACATATCATCTAAAATCTTTTTTTTTTTTTTTAAGATTTAAAGACTGGACCTATAGGGAGAGCCAACATGGAAGATGGAATAGGGTGTCCTGCAGCCCCAAGAGTTGTTCCCATCTTGACTTATGCTAAGTCCCACTGTCTGATGAGAATGGGGTTGCCAATAAGCCTCCTTTTTTTTTTTTTTTTTTTTGGTGGGACACTCACCAGTGGCCAGAGAACCAACTGGCGCTGCAGAGGCTGCGGGCAGCCTCTCAGCCCAGCGCTCAGCCGCTGCGCCACCAGGGGAGGCCCAAGCCTCCTTTTTTTTTTTTTGTTAATTTAAATTTTATTTTTATATTCCCCATACAATTACAACCCCCTTATTTTTACCCCAAGCCCTCCTTTCCCCGCCCCCCACCCCCCATAGAGTGTCTCTTGTTCATAGTTATTTGTTGATTTTGATATTTTCTTGCTTATAGTTATTATTTTTCCTGGTCCCTTACTTAAGTTTTCTAGATTCCTGCTATGAGTGAGACCTTTCTTAATGCAGATTAGCTAAGGCATTGGAATGAGTATGTCAGTGCAGGCAGGACCCACAAGTAGCGGGAAGCCAGGCAGGCAGGCACATGTCTCTTCCCCCAGATTCTGCACTACTCTCATCTTTTAAATGACCTGACAGAAGCCCAGAGAAGACTTCCAGGTGATTAAAATCTACTATGTGACCTTAGCCAGTAAGGCACACACTGTGAAGAGTCCTCCCATGGTGCAGAGCTGGATTAAGTCATTTTATTGCCAGTTATTCCTCTTAAAACATAAGAGTCCTACATGGGTGAGAAAAACACAAAACCAATTGTTCATTATCACTTTGGGCTTTTTTAAAAAGAGAGAGGGAGACTGTTATATGTCCTATAACAAGACCAGTCATCCAAGCAGATTCTGAGGGAACAGTAAAGAAAGTCAAGATATAACTTCTCTAAAAAAACCTCTAAAAAATTACACCCAGGATATAAAGAGCAACAAAATAGGATCAATCACTCACTAAATAAAACCTTTGAGGCAGCTCAGAATTTACAAGTAAAGTACAAAAATTTAAAACAAAAATAAATAAAGGAAAAAAATCAAGAATTTCTGAGAAGATCAAAACAAGAAAACTTTTTAATAAAATAAAATCAATTCATTCTTGGAGGAAGGACTGACTTCTTGGCTAAAAAGAAGGCCATGCCTCTCTATTTATTCTCAAGGCCTCCTAAGAGGAGACCACCAAATCTACACAAATTAATAAATAATGATAACCAAAATGAGTTAAATGTCAGAAGAGGCTAATGTATATACATACATAAAGCACCACATTTTCCTATGTTCAGTATATCAAAATTCAAAAGGCCTTTATAAAAATTTAAATGGACTGTTTTAAAGCTTATTAAAATTACTCTATTACAACACTGGAGAAGCACTGAGGTCCTGGCATCCAATCGTGTTTTTTACAGGAACATTAAATGGAAGGCATTTCAACTCTGATATTCTCTCCAGGATTTTGGTAAAAGAAATTAGGTTTCAATTAATTAAGTCCCAGTTTAGTTTTAGAATTAAAATACTGATCTCAAATAAATTAATTCAAATAATTTTACATCCTCAAGAGAAGACTATTAACAACTCCTTTAAAATATATTATTTCCTGTATTCCTCTCCCCCACCTCCCACACACACACTCACACACATATACACACACACATATAAATCTTAACAAAATTGAAAGTTGAGTGGACTTTCTAAAACATGTGGATTTTAAAAGTGATTTTTATGAGACTGAAAACTACAAGGAGAAAAAGAGAATAATAAACTCCAAATTCAAAATTTATCAGTGAGTGGTACTGAAAAAAACTAGGATTGGGGAGGAGCATCCAGGGGTCCTCAAAAACAATGGTACTATTTTTTAACTGAGTGATGGGCAGGCAGGTATGTACTAAACCACGACTCTCTATACCTAATTTCAATTTTGTAATCTTAACATGTCCAATTATCTACAAAAACTATTTTAGAAGCCAGTTTATGTAATTGAAACAGTGGAAAGTATTACGGACACATGTAAGTCAAATTCCTTCTATAGAATATTCTTTTCAGCAGCAATGTTACTCCTCAAAATGTAAAACAATTAAGAAAGCTTAATTTTTTAGCAGCCAACCTATCTTTCCATTTGACCACTTCCACAGAATCAGCAAATCTTGGGGAAAATGCTGTTTTTCTAAGTTCAACACAGATAGGCCTTTTTTCCCCCACTCAACATCCATGTGTCTCTCATGAATGGGAAATATTCTGAGAAACACGTCATCAGGCAATTTTGCTGTGATTACACAAACCTAGATCGCTGATTACACAGCTATACTCTCGCACATATGATACTGGGCCCATCATCATAGATGGGTTCACTGGGGACTGAATGTCATAGAGTGACCTTAACTAAACTGCCGATTTAAAAAATGTTTTTTTTCCCCTCAACTTTTCTGTAACTTTCACCACTTTATTTTTTCTTGTTCTCTGAATCTGAAGAAATGAAAAAGGAGGTCACACCTCTATGAACAATGTACAGCAGTATGATTTACATCACCCACAATGAAATTAAATATTTCAGTAATAACAGACTTTCAGTTGGCCTGTTTTATATTCAACTATGTGTTGCCAAGAGGAACCTCTAAGTCAAATACCAGGAAAAGACACTGGACACCTTAATATTTCTTTCAACATCTTCCCAATTCTATATTATCTGTTTTGCTTTCAATAACGGTGGAAATGTGTTAAATACTTTAGTTTGGCTTTGCTCATACACCTGGGATATTTAATTTTGTAAGGACAAGCCAACCTGAGAATCCCTATGGTCTCAAATACCAGCTGTTTTCAGTATTTCAAAAAGTCTAAAGCCTACATTTACCTGTAATTTGGCCATGCTAAGAAATAAAAATAGCTTTGCTTTTTTCCCCCTGGGAATTCACCAAGTCTCCCTAAGTTAGCTGATTCTCATCATGATCACATAGTCAGACACATAGCATTAATTAATGGAAGAATGGTCATGGAAGAATTGATCATGATCACTTAACAGATGTGGTTTAGGAAAAATCAGGTCCTAAGGTTCCTGATTTTCATTGGGGCAAAAATAACAAAAGTGGTCTTTCATTACTGGTACTTGGGTTTTTTTAATCAGTATAAATACTAGCAAATACTGGCATTTATAAATCAACTACAGGGGTCTCCCTGGTGGTGCAAGGGGTTAAGATGCAACCTATGAAACGATCTGCAGCCACTGCAGCATGAGTTCGATCCCTGGCCAAGGAGTTACCCACATGGCGTGGCAGACCTCTCCTGTCTCACCTGCTGCTCCCCTCAAAAGTGTATTTCCGTCAGTGTGCCTATTCTGTTCCCCACTCTGTCTCTGATGAATCCTCTCAACCCCCCACCCCCAAACACACACCTCTGGCCTGTATTCCAGTTCTTGTAAGCATAAGTAAATAAATCTTTTATATATATATATATATATATAAATCATACAACAACAAAACCTGGGAATCATGACTTAGAGTAATTCTATCACTGCTTTCGTAAAACCTCAGGTCATGTTGATTTCCTAACTGTTAAAAATTTTGCATGTTGATTTCCTAATGTTAAAAACTTTGCAAATCAACTTTTCCTTTTTTTTTTTTTTTTTTTGCCAGTTCAATTCTCTGCTCCTTTATCTTTGTAAAAAGTAAAAGCCCTGAGAGGTGTTAAGAGGGAACAAGTGCTTCGTATCACACTTCTTCCTGCTGCAAGCCAGGCTAATAGCACTAGGAATGTTTATCTTTCCATAGCCTCCAACTCTCCTTAAAATCAAAGAAAGACCCTCTCCCAAACTAAGGCCCTTACAAAAGTAAACACTCTGAACAAAACCAAACTAAAAAGAAGACTTTAAATGAATCACTTTTAAGAACAAATTAAATGAGCCCCCCAAATAATTTCCTTGGCCATGTAGGACAGCCCCGGGGAACAGTGCAAGGCCTGCCTTCCTAGAGGCGGTCTCCTCCTTCATGAATCTGACCTTCCCAGCCGGCAGCTCCGGCACTGCAGGAATCACTTGCCAGTAGGCCCAATGCCTGCTTTCCCATATCCACTTTCCAAATACATCCTGATGCCAAGGGCAGAGATATGACCTGGCTCCCAAGTGACTTGCCAGCTTTCCCTGGAAACTTTTCTAAATGTATTCTCTATGCTCCTCCTCACCTCTCAATCATAAGTGGTCCATGCTTCCTTCTTTGCTGCACTTCCTGCTTTTACCTCCTCAAATCGTCCCTCCAACACCATTATACCTTCACTTCAAACTCCCTTCAGGCACCTCCAATTCCCTCCCAGCTTAAAACTCCAATTTCAAATCCAAAGAGTAAAGTTCCAACAATTTTAGAGTCAATTTGAAAGGATCATTTTGAGGCCTACCTGCAGGCAGCTCAGTCACAGTTTCTTCCCTTGCTTTCTCCAGCTTCTCCCTGACCCAGGGAAATTCCTGCAGGGAGTCTAGGAATGTGTCAAATGCTTTAGGGCCCCTGGAAGGTAGGATATCCAGCAGCAGCATTGTTTTCCGGAGGCCTGTGGCTTGAGCTTTAATTTCTTGAACATGGTTTTCTGTCAAGATCCCTTCCTGATAAAGATACTGAAGAACCAGTCCCTCCACCAGGACCTCTGCACCCAGCTCCAGGCGAAGGGAGCGAAGCACTTGTTTGTCTCTAGCCTCCATTTCCCCCTGGGAAGACACAAAATGAGAGTTTCTATTACAGGAGGACTAATGAGCCCCTAAAGACAGTATCCCTGCAACATAAGTTGCTTGAGGTCAGGCACATCTTTGAACCTCAGCAGAGTGTCAGGCCAGGGTGTTTAAAACATGGCTGGTAAGCAAGCCAATTAACTTCGAATGTTTCTGAACATAACAAACAATATTGAACATGAATCACTTCTTGTTTTTTGCACTCAATTCTTTGTGGGGTAAAGAGGTATGAAAAAAGTAGTTTCAGAGACCCTGCAATTTTTATTGGAGGATTACAGAACTGCTTCTCCTTTTACCGCACTTGAGAAGAAATAATGGCTTTAGGTTAACTTTACCTTCATCAGAGATGCCAGCACCGACACTGCCATGCAGGTGCCCTTTTGACTGGGAGCATTTGCAGAACCTGGTCAGGAGTGGGGGTGGGCGCCAGAAACCACCAGGTACCATACATTAAAGGCACTTTTTTTCTAAAAGAAAAGATGTATACACCAACACCTTCCAGGAAAACCTAAGTGTTGGAGCACAGTCTACAATAAACTTTGCAAACGGTCACCGTCTCTATGCCTTCCCTTTAGGAATTCCGAATCTCAACCACAGCACTGTCGTGGCCAGGAAGGCACAGGACATTTGCTGGGTTTAGGGGTTTTTTTGTTTTGTTTTGTTTTTTTCCTGTGAAAGAAAATATGTCCCCGCACCAGACCTGGTCAGTAGCCACACCAGATTTGAAGGCACATTTCCAAGAGAAGTACACCAGGGATGTGAAGAGCGGCTGTGTGGTGGGCTATGAAGGTAAATAAATGGTGAGGAGGGGTGGCAGGGACGACTGGTGGGGTTTCCAGACACCCACAGAAAGTATAAACACGGGCGGGCGACCCCGATCCCTCCTTGTGGCCCTTTGGGAAGTTCACAGAATTGGGAGGTGAGGAGGGTGTGCACAAAGCCCCCCTGGCACTTTTTATTCCCCGCCTCGCCGTCTGAAGCCCGGCCGTTTCAGGAACGGGAAAAAAATTTTCAGGGAAAAATTACAAGCGACTATAAGGCAACCTGACCGGCCCAAAAAGGAGTAGTGGGAATAATCTGAGCGCCCTGAGGGGAGAGCGGACCAAGCACCCCACCGCCACCTCCGCCCAGTCCCGAACGCCACAGCAAGTTAGGGAGCCAGGGGGCGCCGCGCAAAGCCTAGGCTGCAGACAGGACGGCGCGGGGCCTTCAAAGAAAGATGGATACAGAGTTTCTAGTTTCCTTTTACTTACGTCTGCCCACGTATCTTTAAAAAAAAAAAAAAAAATGTAACCAGACTCCAGCTGTTAGGAAACCTGTACTATAAGCACCATCTTTGTTGAAGGCGAAACCCCCGAACAGGAAGTGTTGTCGCCATCTTTGTTGAGGGCAAGCACAGGAAGTGCTGCAGCCATCTTTATTGGGGGCCATGTGTTGTGTTGAAGCTTCTTCCGCCATGTTTGCTGTGGGCAAACAATATAACTGCCCAGAGCTGGGAAACTGTAGCGTGCCTTTAAGGAGTTATCTTAGTAAAGGAGTAATTGGATAATTGCATTTTAACACAGTAACTCTGGCAGGGCCTTGCACACAATTGACGTAATAGACAGATCTCAAAGTCGCCTTATCAGCAAGACCTTCTGTCAGGGTGATACCAAATGCAGCTCTTGGTTTCTCTTAGCCAATAAAAGGAAACAGTTTGAGGAGAATGAAAATAGTTTAATTTGTCGAAAATTAAGAGGGCAGCAGATTCATGTTGGAAAGACCACCATCCTGCTTTTTTCGGCAGAGGGCAGGGGTATTTACCCAGTGTTATAAGGGAGTAAAAAGGGGGAGTGGGTAAGGGTCAGCATGTCCATCCTTGTAACAAGGGTGTCTGGAGGTTTTTGGTTGACTCCAGCTTGCTTTAGTGTAAGCTAGTGGTCAGCAATTCAGATGTTATCTTCCCAGTGATGCTCTTTTCCCTCCAAATGTAAGAAAACAAAATTTGTTGGCCCTCCCTGGTGGCGCAAGGGGTTACAAGACAACCTATGAAGCTGTCCACAGCCTCTGCAGCACAAGTTCAATCCCTGGGCAGGGAGCTACCCAAATGGTGCAGCAGACCTCTCCTAACTTGCCCACTGCTCCCCTCAGCAGTGTACTTTGGTCAATCTGCCTGTTCTGTTCCCCACTCTGTCTCTGGTGAGTCCTCTCACCATCCCCCCCATACATCTCAGTTGTACCCCAGTTCTTGTGTGCATAAATAAATAGAGAGATAGAGTGTGTGAGAAAGAAAGAAAACAAAATTTGTTAAGTCTGGAGGGTAAATAAAGGAAATGGGAGAGCTTATCTGTTGGGACAGAAAAAGAAACAAGTCCTTCACTTCTGTATCAGGGGTATCATTTAATAGAGTTAAAACTTAAGTCTGCACTTTGCTCGGCTAAACAGTACAGGGAGACACAAAACAGATAAGACAGAGAAACTGATAGAGTTGCCATGGGAACCTGGCCAAGGGTCCACATGACCAATAGGGGGCTATGGAGAAGTCTCAGGATTATGGAAAAACAGGGCAAATAGAATCAGGCAAGACACCCCCTGTGTGGAAGTCCCACCAAAACCTGATGTCCCAGCAGATAACTGGCTGAGACCCACTCCCCCCAGTCATGAAAAGCCCTGGAAAACAGGCTATAAAAAGGGAGCCCCAAATCCTTCTTTCCATGGCGCAGATCTCTTCATTCTCACCCCCTGCTCTCTCTTGGAAGGTGCTTCAATAAATCCACCTTTCATATTCTCCACTCTGTCTCTGGTGAATTCTTCAACACACACACACACACACACACACCCATCACCCTCCACCCCACGCCTCTGTCCTCACCCTATTACACTGCCACACCTTCCATAGCCACTGTATATAAAATTGCAATACAGCCACGTTCACTTCCAGCATTCCTCAGACCCTTTTCCAGCTTCATTTTTTTTAAATCACCATCTTATAATCATTTGTTCATTGTCTGTTTCCTCTACTAACATACAAGGTCTTTTCTTTATATCACAAGGTTTCTGCCCACAAGGTGTGTACAAAACAATTAATCAAGCTTCCATTGCTGCAATCACCTAGCTACTCTAGATAAAAAAGGATTTGGCCTGGGGAATTAGGGACATTCTCCATCTTTGGATAAACTGGAGAAGGGTTGGGAATCCAAGGATGACTCCCTAAATAACATTGCCAAACTCATTTGTGGCCACAACTAGGCAGATGGAGTTGCAAAACCACCACTTCACTGTCCCAATCTCTTCACAACATTGACAAAGCAAGGGATTGGAGACTGGAACACTGCTACAAAAACAAAAACAAACAAACAAAGTTTCCACAGCTGTATTTGCCAGCAGCACCAAAACAACACCTGCAAATCTTACTCTAAAGGGTGGCTAACACCTAATTCACATGCAGAACATTAACAGCAAAGGTGTTTGGGCATGTAATTTGGAGCTTTCCAGTTTCTGAAATAAAAAGACATGCTAAAAATAGGGAGGATCTGATACTAAGGGCCAACTTGATGAGTTCACCACATTTTTAACGTGGAAGGCAAGACAAATGCATTATCCAAATATAGAGATACAAAAATGCAAAATTGAATGTCCTCCAACAAAATCCTTCGTGAAAAAGATAATAAAGATAATGAATATATTCATTGATTATTTTTTAAATCAACTGGATAATATATACAGTACGCCTTTTAAAAACTTGATTTGACAGTAAGAGGGAAATTTTCCTCAAACCTCCTGTAGAGGTTTCAAAAGCAATGCCTCTAGTGAAAGTTGAAAATAACTCTGCAAATCAATGGAAAGCTATTCTAAACCCCACTGCTCAAAACCTTCTAATAATTGTAACCAATTTAGAGCATTTTCCTATCAGTACACAATTTTGCTATACTACAAGTGACAGCATTTTTACATAAATAACAAGGTGATGATTGGCATTTCACACATGAAGAGACTACAGATCAGAGTGGTCAAGTGTCTTAGCCAAAATCTCATGCTTAGTGTATAACAAAACCTGAATTTTAATCAGGTTTCTGATCTGATTTCATGCTCTTTTCAGTAAATCCACATAGCCCTGTATAGTGAAGAATCCTTTATTTTAAGAGCAGTTAATATATTACTGGCAAATCATCTGGTGTTGCCTCCCATCTTGATATCCCTGAGTTCCAGAAACTCCTTTACTCTCTCCCTCTTCCTCTTTTGCTCCTGAACTACAGTTTTTTTCTGGGCAAATTTTCCTTTTTGTGTATAGAAAGTGTTCGCAATATTTTCTGTTTTCATCCAGATCAAGTGTAGACCTTGCAATATTGCCAATAGCTGAAGTTTCTGACTGTAGGATAAAAAACAACAAGTGTATTTTTTTGAATAGTAAATTTTGGTAATTTTCAAACATATGGAAAAGTTGAAAAAAACAGCATAAAAAACACATAAGACTATCCAGTTGAAAACACTTCTTTACAGTTCCTGTTTGGAAAGACTTGGAATCTCCTGGAGCTAATAGGAGAGCATAAATAATAACATCTAGGAGGACATGAGGAACCAACAGTGAGATGGCTGAAAGTTCACAAAAGAAAAGAGATCAAGAGACAGTGTGAGAACAGTTAGTACAGGAACTGAGGGGTATTGAGTCCTTAAAGTGAGCATAAGGAGAGTCTTCTCCTTATGGTAAGAATCAAACTTAAATCCATAAGGTGAAGCTCTGGTCCATCAAATTCCTCTTGTGGCAAATATAGATAAGCATCCCATGTGGTCTCCTAAGTGAGCTGGCTGACTCTCTATCATCAATCACCCTGTGGAAGGACTACGAGCCTGCGCTAGAATGCAGTGACATTCCTGAGAAACACATCAAAAAGTTCAGCTTCACTTTTGCCAGTAGGCAAACCAAACATAGATCAGAATTGATCTATTACTCTTCCACTCCACCCAACTCCTCTCTGTAGGCTGCATTTGTGCTCCCACAA